TATATATATATATCTATGTATGTTCCATTTAGCACCTATACGCTCGCAAACATTATTTGACCTTGTTTAATATTTAATAACTAAGGATAAAGTGATTACATGAGCTTTACGAGCGTTAAGTGGGACGCACCATGTTTCAAAAGTGAATATATACAAGAAAAAAAACTCTTTTGAAATCATCGCATATCCATCCGCCGTTGACAACTGTATGATGGTTTAACTTATTTTTATCTTTTTCTAATTCTTAAAACTAGAAAAGGATAGAAGTAAATTATAGTTGGTAAATTAAATTAAATTAAGGTAAATCTATATACTGAAATAGAGAATAGCGCGCGTTATTCTGTATATTGTTACCAACATTCGATATTGCAGAGTTAACAAATTGTGGCTAAGACCTGAACAAACGCTGAATAGAAACAAAGAAAAATAAATTAAAATTTCTCCTAATTAGGTACAAAAAGTACAATAAAGATACATAATAAAATTATAAAACTTTCATCGTACATCTTCTAGAGAATTTTTAACACTACAAAGTTTAATTTACTCTTTTAAATGAAGAGATATTTATCTTTAGTTTTTCTTCTTTTTAAATTCTTCATTCTTGATAAACATACTTTTCAATTCCTTGATATGTATTTATTCCATTAAATCTGTTTTTGCACGTTATAAAGAACTTGGCATTTCCTAATATAAACTGTTTGTAAACGAAATCTGTTGTTTACAGTTGAAAAAATTGTAATAAAATAATATACCATAAATGATAATCAAATGTACGAGGTCTCAACAAACTATTCCGAAAATCGAAAATTGTTAGAAAATATTACAAAGTTATTATATGTATTCATATTACACATTTATATTTTTATAATTGTAGCAGTTGGTAAATAAAATCAGCGAAAAATTGGCATAATCACAAATGCGCATAATCAACATTCATCGATATGCTTTATCACAGAAATAGTAATAAAAAAATAGAATAAAGTTTTCGCAGTTCAATGGACTCAACAGTATGTACACATGCCGTTAATCAATTTGTTATACAGTTTATGTATATATACAAATAATATTATGGACTTAAGTCTCAGCAGAGAAAAACCTGAGAGAGGATATAAAGGCCTTCAATTATACCAGAAGATTTGCGGATTATCGCCGTATCTTTCTTCATTCTTGATGCCGACGTTTCGTGAACCATGCTGTTTACTTCATCAGGGCGAGGGTACTTCAGTATCAGTGCACCTCTCGTCTTGATGAAGTAAACGCATAGTTCACAAAATATCGGCATCAAGAATGAAGAAAAGACACAGCGATAACCCGCAAATCTTCTGGTATAATTGAAGATAATACCCGTGAAAACCTCAAATGCGTGATATGAAGGCCTTTTATCTGTAATCGCAAAATCCTGTGGGAATATGACCCGCCTTTTTTTCCCCAGCGAAAGTAAGTTTTTCTTTGTTCAGTGTATTAGCTGCTTGTGTGCAGGATAAAGTACGTCAGAACTTTCTCGATCCTCAAGCTAGTCGCTTGTTTTTGTAACAAAGTAAAAATGAAGTTTCGTTATCTGTTGGATAATTGCTGTGCGAGTTCCTTCATTCACAGCAGCAGGGCATGGACTACCTTGGAAATTAGCCCTGCATCCACGAATATTAAAAGCTAGAACCCACAATGCCTTGCGTACTACCGCCCTCTAAAAAAGTAGATATAAACTATACAACAATATTCACATTTTTATGGCGTTCATGATGGAAATAAATCGCTAAAATCGTTAAAATCTTTATTAATTTGATAGATTTTGGTTATTTTAGCGAACTGTTTCCATCCGTAAAAAATGGATATTGTTGTATAGTTTACATTCATTTCTTCAGATGACAGTAGAGCACAGCATTTTGCGATTACAGGAAAAAAAGTCTTTGGGTGTTTACGACAAGCCGTCGGATTTCTATTCCAACTGAACAGTGGTACTCAATTGATTCAAAAAACTCCCTATATAGTCTAATCGGATTCTGCGGTGACTGTCTCAGGAAGTAATTCAGTCAAATTAAAAATTCGACAGTTTGTCAGAAACACCCTTTATGCGCGCTCTCTTTCTCTCTCTCTCCCCCTCCTTCCTTCCCTTCTCCTTCTCCCTTCCCCCCCTCTCTCTCAGATTTCTCTCTGGTCTTAGCTATCTTTATAAAATCATAAATTTATACTCTGAGATTAATAAAAGAATCAGTCATACAAATGAATTGTCAAAATGTACTAGACAATGGCTGCGTTCAACAGAGAAAACTAATCGGTTAGCGTTTAGTGATTTCTTCGCTAAATCTAAGTGTAGGAATCAATCATATTAAAAAAAAATCACAACAATAATTGATTAACTTTCTCTGCTGAATGCAGCCAATTTCCACGACTAGATGTGGTCGCGTCCATTTATACTCACTTATAAATACTAATAACGAAATGCAACTAAAGTACATTTCGCGCGTTATAATACATAATTATATTCATATAAAAATAGACATATCTAACGATTTTCGTTTTTGTCGAGGCACATTATCTCCGAGGTAAAGAGAATTACGTTCTAAAAGCTCCTTTCTTGGCCGCCTTAATTATAAATGCTTTTACTATTTCGTACTTTAACTCGACGAAATCTTCTGTCTGCGTCACAGCCGTCATGTGATTTAAGGCAAATTTGAAGCAGACGTTTTCTAGCTCCTAAAATATTGTCAATGCATTCGATTATTGCATACGTATAGATAACAGAGGTGCGCATTACTTTAAAAAAATAACGTATTACCGTTACCTTGAAAAGTAACGATTCGTTTCTTTTTTGTTACTTTTTTTTATAATGCTAAAGTTATGAAATCTTAAAATATTACATTAGTTGATAATTAACTTAATATCAAATGTGAAATAAATATTCAAACTTGAAACTCTTCAGTCTCTAACTAGTTTGTGTATGTATACAGAGTAAGCTTTTTTTTAGATTAAACTTTCTTACAGTTTTACTAATTCTTTATTTTCTTAATATTGTTGTTTTAATGTATTCATTTTTATAGGAATTTAAATTAAACAAATTTTTTATTAATTTGTTAGATTAAACAAATAATATATTAAACGTTAATATTCATTGTTTTCAAATGTTAATGTTCTCTGGTGAAAATAAATCGGTGAAATCTTTGTCAATACATCCATTTCAGTATAATTTATAATGAAATGAGTTTAATTGATGAATTATAATAATTGATGGAAATTTTAGCAATTTATTTCTACTAGGATTATTTTTATGTATATTTCTATATTTATTGCCCATACCAAAAACTTAAAGTGTGCGCGTGTATGATCTATTAAATAAAAGTTATAAAAAAATAGGGAACTAATATAAGGTACATGATACTGTGACCGTCTGACTGAAGTTGAAAAGCCACCCAGCAGATTTAAAAAAGAACTAAAGTAACAGTAAAAGTAAGGGCTAAACTCGTTACCGTTACTGTAAAAATATAACGATGTTACTGTTAAACAGAAAAAAAAGTAACGATCGTTACTAAAAAAGATAATGAAAACATTGGGGGGACGGAATCAAACTCGAATTATGAATCAACCGCTTACCTTACAGCATAGACATAGTATAGATAGACCGAGCATGCGGCGAGAGACATGGCAATCACGTGCAAGAAGAAGGGAACACAATTAGATTTTTCGTTCTCTCTAACAGAAGAAAGTGGGAGTACGATGCAGCCCCCACTTTCTTCTGTTAGAGAGAGAACGAAAAATCTAATTGTGTTTTCTCCTTCTCGCACGCGCCAGCCATCGATATCCTTGTCTGGCATATGGCAATGCTCGGTCTATCTATACTATGTCTATGCCTTACAGCATGAAGGCGTTACAAGTAATGCGTTCCCAACCCTAGTAGATAAAGGCGTATGATATGTATGTATGTACTTACAAAAAAACATAAGACAAGAAGATATAAGAGTAAATCTTCAAATTAGGGGATCTTTGCCTAATGATCTTGACCTTGATATATTGTCAAGGACATGACCCTGAGTAACCTCCAACAAGTTTTAGCCGTTAATCGTTAAAAAGTTATTATAATAAAAAAAAGTTTAAAAATATGTCTCATTTTAATACAATTGTAAAGAATGTACAATTATGATGAACGAACTGATAAATTCTTTGATATTATGAGTGCAATATACTAGATAAATAATATACATATATAATAATATGTATAATAAGCAATATATCCACTATAGATAGTAAATTTGATTAAAATTCTAAATTCATATATACTGTGACTATTTTTTATTTTAAAATTCAAAACATATATATATCTCCACCTCTCCCTATTTCAGGAGTGCACGATTTTCACACGAAGCGCCTTTGTAGGGGGGAGAGGGATGAGAGTAGTGTATTCGTGGATGCAGTGAGTTCCGCCCTCCCTGCGGGAGGGCTTCCCACTACTGTTAAAAATAAATTGACCCAACCTATTTTTTGGTGTGGGGTGGCCCTCGCTTCGCGTGGAAGTCGTGTGGCGTGTGCCCTTTTGCAGGAGAGTGGGAAGGTCGCTTGTTATTCATGCCATTTTGAGCTCATTCAATGCAATTTGAACCAATTTGCCGTTGTCGATCCATCTCAAAACTTTAATTGTTAATAACTTTTAATTTTAAACTACAGGTGTGCAAACGAAAAATCGAATAGTTTTGAAATGTGCAAACTTGAAAAGTTATAAGCAAAACAATTTTATGAATGGGAGTGCTATTCATATATACGATATGTCCATTACTGTACGTCAATTTAGACTTTTCACACGAAATGTCTTTGTAGGGAGGGAGGAGGATGAGGGTAGCGTATATATGAATGCAGTGGATTCCGCCCCCGCCCTTACAGAGACTCCCACATCAAAAAATGGGTTGCTCAGGGTCATGTCTTTGATAATATATATCAAGATCATTGGGGGAGGTTCCCTGATCTGAAGATTTATCGATCTATGTAGTAAGTAAATCGGCTAATCACAGTAGAAAACATAAAATTTTCTCCATCTTTAATATTCTCCATCTATGATTGGCCAATTTGTTTACCGCTTACTGCCTTACATTTTTCGATGTTCTGGCAAAACACATATTATAGTTAACGGAACAAATAATAGAAGTCGCGATAGTTTCATGCTGTAAGCAGTCGACTCGTGATCCGAGTTCGATTCTATCCCCCCCCCACATGGTTTTTTTCGCGTTTAAGGAGAACATCGCTCTACTAAAGATTAAGAACTAATTTGATTCTGTATTTAGACAGATAAATATAGATAGAACTAATGTTTTATATATATGTATATATAAATAAAATATGAGTTTGACTACCTTCTCGTTAAACTCGATTGCGATGTTGTACAAATACGCTACATTCGATACGGTAATTCCTTGCTTTATCATCTGCATACAGCGTTTCTTGAGATTAAAGTCACAGTAGCTATCAGCTAATTTCCAAAGTTCTGTAACAAAAAACATTGTTTCAATCATGAGAGTACTTAGGTTGATAATAGTTTATAATATATTGACTCACCAATGACTTGCTTCCAGGATAAATTAATTGTATCTGTATATAGATAATTCAGAAAAGCCTTGTAAACAACATATGAAAATTGATTATGTTTGATGACACTGTTGGAAGTGAACAACAAAATGAGCAAAATTTTGAAAAATCTCATAAACATAAATAATATTTTTGTTAAAATGTTTACTGTGTGATATCTCATTAAAAAATTTCTTTAAAATTGCTGGATTTTTAGGTACCTATTTTAATTCAAAATTGCAGGTAACATTAGAAGGTAATAAATATTCTGTTTATTAAATGGTTACCTTTCGTTGCTTTCTGTCCAATCATGTGCAAACATGGATTTAAAATACTCAGAACGGATTTTCAAGATGGCCTTGTGCACATGGATACATTGGTCCTTCATTTGTATCTTGAGATCGCTGGTCGACTGTGTCAGAAAGGAAAAAGTTGTTAGAGAAGTCGAGAACAAAATATATTATTCAGTTTTAACAATCGAAGTGTTACATTTTAAAACTAAAAAATTTTTTTCATCTAAAAAGTACTTTTTTTAATTTTTTAACAATTCAAACTGGTAACACTATATTTAAAATAAGATTTAATAAACAATGATAAATATTACAACTACTATAAATGAAAATATTAGTAATTATATAGATATATATGTATGAATAATAACCATGTACGTATAAATGTACATTTTTTGCGTTTAAAAGACGACATCAAAATATATGTCACAATTTTAGATTTTAGAAGTGTTTGAGTATATATTCGTATTTAGATCTCTGTTTTAGTTGTACTGTTTTTCATCAGTATTGTACATTAATTTCATTGTATGTTTCAAATACAAGACAGAACATTCGAAACAAACAGATGCGGGACAAAAAACAAGACATACGGGATCGTCGAATGCAATTCTCAGGCATTCCAATATGTCACACTGTTTATTCTCACGCAGGATCAACGGTTTGTGCATAACTCTTGATAATGAATGGTATGCAAACGCTTCATATATGCTCGAGAACGGAGTGATGATTGGGCTTGTAATACTCTGATCGCGGCACTGACCCCAGATGTAAATACGTTCTGCCTCACCGACAGCGATGCTTATATTATTGTAATGTAGAGCGGCGATATCGAGCACCCTTCCCATTTCATGTTTTACCTGACCAATAATTGGATTGATTATCAGTTCTTCTTTCCTTTTCTTATTTTTATTAATAAGATGACAATAAACATGAGTTTACCATGACTGGAGTAGGGGTGTCCGTCTTGTTGCCTATTCCCAACTGGCCGTGACTATTGCTGCCCCAGACGTAGAGCTCTCCTTCGTCCGTGAGCGCCAGCGTGTGAGCGTATCCGCAAGCCACCTTAACTGAAACAATACCGAAGAATTATTCAATAATTCCCTTTTACTTGGTTGAGACGAGAATTACCTATCACAGTGTTTTTTAACGAAGTGACTTTCTCCATTTTAAAACGGGCGTTGCGATTGCCTATCCCCAACTGACCAACATCGTTATCGCCAAAACAATATACCCTACAATTTGTGGTGACGATCATAGTGAAGGTATCACCACAAGAGAAGCTGGCAACTTTGTTTGTACCCAAGCAGTTGACAAACCTGGGTACATTGTCAAAATCTTCCCAAAAGCGGACTTGTCTACAATTATGTCTTCCCCAAACGAATACCTGAATTTGTTAAAAATCACTTATAAAAGAATACACGTATTTAATAATATATGATCGAATTTAATTGAATTTAATCGAATTTAATTGAACCAAGATTTACAACATGAATTTTACCAGAACAGTCATTCAATTGATAAAAGAAGAAAAACTGGAGTACATCCTAGGCATATGCCTTATTTCACTATATCAAATGAAGATATAAACAATTATTAAACTAATAGTAAGAGATCGAAGCAAAAAGAGGAATATTTTACAAAGTCAAATGTCTTAATCTAGAACTTATTTGAATAGGAAGATCTATCGCTACTGTAAGATCTTACAACCGCTACAACCGCTTGATACCAAGATCTACAGGGAAAAGGGATAAACAACAGCTATGATTAAGCTTTAAGAGAAAACAATAAAAAATAAAACACATTCTAACAGAATTGGGCTACATATGTAATAATGGAGGATTGTTGTATCTTGGTTTTTTACTTACTTCGCCAGCATCAGTCAGAGCCACAGAATGGCAACTCCCGCATGCAATATCTATGATGCACGTGGTGACCCTACAGCTTGCCCAAATTGGTATCTCCACTAGAGTAGGCATTAATACATTATCTAGAGCTTCGTACCCCAGTTGGCCATAAGAGTTGTTACCCCAGGAATATACCTTCCAAAGATATCGTTGCTTAATTCAAACTCTCACAAATGCGTTGCGCTTTGAAGATTTTATAAAATCTGACAATTTTTCAAAATTGCTGGATGGATCATTAAAGAATAATAAACAAGAGAAATCTAAGCGTCTTTTTGTACAAATATAAGCAAACTGTAATTAGTTTATCTTTAGCTACTTTATAAATTTATCACAGTGAAATTTAACGCTTAATAAATTCGCATTTAATGAAAATTATGTATGTATATTCTAAAGACAACAAATTGGAATTATTTATATTCGGAAGAGATAAATCATCAAACTTAAAATATGAATTTAGGATTTCAAAATAAATAAAATCGTTCTGTATGTTGATTTTTTAAATTAAAAAACTATAAGAATAACGTTGAAATAATCTAGGTTCAGCCCCTTCATTGCTTTAACAATAATAAAAATGTAATTATTAAAGTTTTTTTTCAAAATAACGGTCTCCAGCCTTCAGACAAGCATTGCACTTATCAATCAAAGAACGAGTGGCTGATTAACTTTGTGCATCTATATAATTGTTTCACACGCTTGCATTACTCTCCATTTTAATAATTAAAATTATCCATTTTATATACTTTTTTCTTTCTAGAGCAAATAAAATCAAGAGATATTTCGACATTATTTATTTCTGTAATTCTGTAACTTAAGAAGTTCTTTAAACAAAGTGTTTACGAACAAACTTCCACTTTCTTCGCAAAAGCGGAGAAAGAAAACTTACAAAGACAATTTTTGTTTATTTTAAGGTCATAAATTCATATTGTAAGTTTGATGATTTAACCTGAGGGCACTCCGTGTATAGTAAAGACACCAATTAAAAATCTATTTGAACTCCAATATAGATTAAAGTTACCAACTGCTTAAATTAGGAGAAACCCAAATTTTAATTCTTCGTCCCATTTTACAACACGTCCTAAATTTTGTCCTAAATTAAGAATATAATTATGATTTATATCCTTCTTTTAGGTGTGAAAATAATAACTGAAAATAATAAACGAAATATAATTTTCAACGTATGAAAAACTATCTTTGATTTTTTTTTATTTAAAAACCAATAGTATTTATAAAATATATTTAGTAAAAAAATATACAATTAAAAAAAATAAAATGTAAATTCTCTCGTAAATTGATATAATTTTTATTATGATCTCATGTAATGTTATATTTTAAATGTTGTTAATTATATTTACAAAAATTCTCCAACAATTGATCTCTCAACCGCTTGTGAGCAATTTCGTTTTCTCTATATATTCATCAAGCCACAACTATATCTCACTGAGATTCTATTCTTTTACATCAATATTAAATTGTTAGGCATTTAATGTTACTACGAATATTCAAATATTTGAATGGTGATGCTGAACCATAATATTACTAAATTTATACCTCTAATCTTAAGTATGTTTATATATTAAACGTTTTACATTGCATACGTTAAACATTTTTTAATTTAACTCTTACTTGCCGTTTACTTTTATTTTATCATTGACTAGCAATAAGAATCTTTTAACTTTATTTACAAATATAAAAATATAACATTGTATGTTTGTGTTCCACTTACAATTATTTAAAAAATGTTTATTTAAAAAATTTATTAAAATTTAATTACAAAAGTATTTTTTAATGCTCTATCCTTAAGAAGTTGGTCACCTTAATATATGTGTGTGTGTGTGTGTGTGTGCGTGCGTGTGCGTGTGCGCGCGCGCGTGTGTGTGTGTGTGTGTGTGTGTGTGTGTGTGTGTGTGTGTGGCATGTGTGTACAACCTTCTAAGGCATTATACCTTTCCATTATTTGTAAGTGCCAGAACGTGATTTCCGTGACATCCACTGTCAATATCAATACTGCCATAAGCAAATGTCCTTACATACTTTTTGCACAGGGCCTTTACTTTCACTGGATATAATGTAGGGATTTCATTTCCAATTCCCAAACAACCACAATTATTGCTACCCAAGCCATATACCATGTCATCCTTTGTCACAATTAAAGCTTCATTACCTGAGTCACCTGTGTTAAAATACGAGTAAATAAGAATGACATAATGTGTGTACAGGGAAAGAAAAGAAAGTGAATTACCAAATACAAAAACCATATGAATACATGATGCAAATTCTGGTTCTAATAAACTAAAAATGGGCCAGCTACTTAGAAGCGAGGTACTCATGTTGTCTGTTACTGGATCGTCTCTTTACAAGTATTGTTTTGTTTTTTGATATTTGATAGCTGTTTTTTTTATACAAGAAGACATAAATTAATATAAGAATGATACCATATGTACCCTTTTTTATATATTGTAAAAGTTTACTGATAATGAAATATATTAGATGTATTATATATTTGTATTATAAATATACAGCATTGGCAAAAAATATTAAGTCCTACATTATTTTTATTTATTTGGAATTGTTTTACCTGTACTATATTATCTATCGGTTACCGGTATTATACACAAGTTTAAAGGGCTCTTGAAACAAAAGCTAATTTACAGCAAATGCTATTAATTTTTAAGCTACAATCTTAAATAATACTTAATAAAGTGTCTAATATTTTTGTATACAATAGGTGCGAATTCAGCGGATTCAACAGTTGAGTGAGCATTCGCTGTTATTGGTGTATTCTTTTAGATCATCCAATCAGAATTTTAGATCTAGAAGAATGCACCAATAACAACTATAGCGCCCACTCAACTGTTAAGTCCATTGAACACACCCAATATGATATATAACTTATTTATAACATAAAATATATTAAAGCAAAAAAGAATTAAATCTAGATAATATTTACACATCATCATTAATCAAGTTTAATATTAATATCGGTACTTGTATTAGGCTGGGTTTATGCTTCTTGATCCCAAAAGATCCTAAAATTCAACCAATAAAGCCGCCAGTTCTAACCGAAAAGTATTGGCTGAATTTTAGGATTAAGACGAAGCATAAACCAGACATTAATTGCTAACGTAAAATATATGTTTTATAAACGCGATTAAATCCGATTTTATGGTACTGATAATCGGACTTAACTAGCGTTTATGCGAAGTATTTTTGTCAGCAGTTATTATATATATCATGTTATTAAACACTCGATTATTAATAACGTGTAAATGTAATAATCGTAGCAATAGTAAAAAGCATTGCCTTTTCCATAGAATGAAAGGTCAATCAATCTTTAAAAATATTCTCTAGCCATAATATTATAAAAATTCTACTTTTTCCTTATTAGACTCTTTTTTAATTTTTTATTAAATATTAATCTTAACCTCACCTTCAACTGCTTTCAACTTAGTTCCCGCCAAAAGATGTCGAAACTTTATTAAAACTTTGAACTTGAAATTTGAATGCCTTGTGCCTTCCAACAAGCGAAAGCGATACAGATGACACGGTGTGACACAGCCACAGTAACACAAGACTGCTTTCCTTTTAAAGGACACCACCAGACACCACTCAACACAAATATCGTTCCATCCTTCATGACATTCATAACAAATGTATCAAACGATACTTATGTTGACTTGTCGTCACTTGATCGCGTTTAGCAGACTCAAGTGTGCAGAGCGAATCCATGAACGCTCAACTGTTATTGGTATATTCTTTTAGATCATCCAATAGCAGCGAGCGCTCACGGATCCACTCCGCAACAGTTGAGTCTGCTGAACGCGACCAATGGCGTTTCTCCTTATATTATAAGGACTCTACTGCGTACAAAAAACGCAAGTAATTCGAAAATCGAACAGACCTATTGTACATACGTCAGTCTTCTGCCATTTCTAGCCTCTTTCACCGCGCGTTCCCCTACCTCTGTCCCTCACGTCCTTTGCCCTTCGTAATCTGCCTCGACTCGGCGCGTTGATCATTGGAGTATTTCGAGTGTATCTCTCGCGTGGTACTCGACCGCTCTTGCGGTAGCTTGCGGAGTTCGGCAGGATTCATGTGAGAGAGGTGTGACAGTATCGTTATCCTATCGCGGCATTTGCGTACTCAGGAGACACGGATTCCCGCGATCGGCGTGTACGGCGCCGTACGTCGTACAATGAGGAGGGAGTGAGATATGCGCGTGAGAAGATCGACGGCGTTGACGAGGACGACGGCGGCGGTGACGAGGAGGACGACGACGGCGGCGAAGCGCCGACGTATCATCTCTTGACGTTCCTCGCGCCGGCGTCTCACGTTCGCATCAGCACGCCAGGCGACTTCCACGGCGATTACTGCAGCGATTCCGCTGAGTACGCTCGCTCGGACAGCGGGCCCAAGACGAGCCAGGCCACCGTTTACACCGGCGATGCCGATACTGGCGGCCGACGCAATGATCCACGGCCGCAGCCCGCGGCACAGCGGCTGTGCGACGCGGTGATACGGCGATCGCCGAGCGGAGATCGCGGCGGCGGCTCGGCGCCTCCGCGGATCATCGTCGTCGTCGTCGACGGCGGCGACGACGTTCTCACGAGCGGTAGGATCTGCCCCATCTTGGATCGCGGCCGGATCGTTCCTGAGACCGCAGGTATAACGGTTCTTCCTGGTACTTCCCACGGTGTCCCGTTTGGAAATGTAGTGTAATTTATTTGTTGTGATTAATACAATGGGCAGTAAATTTGACGTAAAAATAGTACGATTTATAATAAAGATGATTTAAATAATTATTCTTAATGTAAATATTAAATATTTTTTTAATGCAATTTATTTAAGTAATTGTAATTATATATATAACTTATTTGGCATTCAGAGATTGGTATTAGTATCTCTATTCATTTAATCAGTTTGAATATCAGATAAATTATTATTGAATAATCACTTATTTAATTGTAATTTGTATGGTATTCACATTGATTAAATTATTATTAATACTAATCTGAATATTAAATGTTATAATCAAATAATAATTTCTTTTTACTTTGAATAATGACAAGTGAAATTAAAGAGTAAAATCGAAAAATTCAAAGAGTTTCAATATAATAATACTTAATTAAACAAAGAAATTTATCTCAAATAAGAAATTAAAAAGACTCTACACAAATATAGAGACATGTGAGGAATTTTAATTTTTCTAAAATAATATTACAAAGTTGTTGAATATGTGTGTTGGGGGAGGAGTTTTATTAAACTCTTATACTAAAAGTTAAACTATAAGCTATATAAATTAATAAATTAATTTATTATATATATATAATATATAGTTAAGAAATTTGTGAATTATTAGAGTTATAATTAATGTAATGTATGACTGTGTGCATCGTTTCTAGTTTTACACACATGAAATGGGTAGCTCTTGGTGGCAGTGCGCTGCGTGTCTGAGAGCTCAGGAAGAAGACATCTGCGAGTTACAGCTGAATCATTGTAATCTGTACGATGTACCACCTGATGTGTTCATTTACGAAAGAACGTTGGAAAAGTTGTATCTCGATGCCAATAGAGTGAGTGCCGTATTCACCTTCTCAGAGCCAGTTTCCTGCAGATTATATCATGCAATTAGTTGCTCACTATTTATATTAAACTCAGATAATTCTCATTTATGACATTGCATTTGTGACTCAGTTATTTCTTTTCATTTTGACAAGTGAGATTCAACTGAGTTTTTTAATTCACAATCTGCACAAACTCAATACCATGTATTTTATTGAGTTTTATTAACTTACATTAAAAAACATAAGGTTTATAAACTTGTGTGATTATGCAATAACTTTATCAAAGCAAGAAAGCAAGAGATGTCATTATTTGAGCATAAAATACTTGCATAGACTCAACATTATTTGTGTGAAAATGAAAAGCAGCTATTATGACAACACACTCAACATTTGTTATTTCTTTTCGTTCTTCTTTAGATAAGAGATCTTCCCAGACCGCTATTTCAGTGCCACGAATTGAGAGTACTATCGCTTAGCGATAATGAAATCACTATGTTACCACCTGCCATAGCGTCGTTGATCAACCTGGAGTACTTAGATCTCAGCAAGAACAGTAAGTACATCTTGAATTTGGAGAACATCTCGTCACATGCGAGATGTAGCCTGCTTTCCATTTCGAAGACACAAGTGTCTTTGGATCTTTGTTATTCATCAAGAAAGATAAAATGCATTTGTATCGATTGTCTTGTAAGAGGAAAGCAATTGTATTCTAAAAGCTTTATAGCACAATTTTGTTGATCAATGTAGATGAACTGTACTTATATTTGATTGTGTATGTACTTCTATTGCAGGTATAAAAGAGTTACCAGACAGCATAAAAGAATGCAAAAGTCTTCGCTCGATAGATATCAGTGTCAATCCCTTTGAAAGGTTCCCAGATGCTATAACACATATCGTCGGTTTGCGCGAGCTCTACATAAATGATGCGTACATAGAATACTTGCCGGCTAATTTCGGACGACTGTCAGCCTTGAGGACGCTTGAGCTGCGGGAGAACAACATGATGACGTTGCCTAAGAGTATGAGCCGTCTGGTGAATTTACAGAGGCTCGATATCGGCAACAATGACTTCACAGAATTAGTAAGAACACATCTTTTGTTACAAAGCCATAACCATTTTTAAATCTACTTATGTTTTTAAACACATGTCATTTGCATAATGTCTCAAAATCGTTCGACGTCCTAAAAGGGATATTTGTGATTACTTTACGACTTTTGATATTGCAAATGTTTAGTGAATTTTATATCAAAGTCAATTTTTTAAACTTTAATGGACTCAAGGATATGATTAATTTTTTTCTTATGCCTAATTTTAGTATACTTTGTTCATCGAAATAAAAATAAGATATCTTTAAATAATTTAAATTTTAATAATTATAAATTTTATAATTTATATGTTTATATGCATGTCTAAAAGTAACTTATTTTAATATAAACATTAAGTTTAATGAAACTGAATGACTTAACCGTTAAATTATTCATAACATCATAAATGTTAAAATAAATTTATTTTATTTTTTTTTCAAATGTACCACCTATTTTATTCATTTTTTTATCGGTTTAATAATATCCTTTCATTGATTTTTAAATGTGTCTCTCGTCAAAATTAATAATAAAGTTAACAGAAATTTAATAGCAATTGTATCTAGTCCATCGAATTTTTATATGAATTTCGGTGTAATTTTTCAATTTTAGTAGATTTATATACGTGTTATGTATGTTTATATTACTTCTTGTTTTCAGCCTGAAGTTGTTGGAGACCTCATCAATCTCACAGAACTATGGATCGACGGTAACGACATCAGGCGTGTCCCGGCAAATGTCGAGCAGCTCTATCGCTTGAATCACTTCGATTGCACGATGAACGCAATACACGCACTCCCGATGGAGATACGCGGCTGGCGCGACATCGGGATCATGAATCTGTCCTCGAACGAGATGTACGAGCTGCCCGACACATTATGCTACCTGCGCACGATCGTCACCCTCAAGATCGACGACAATCAATTGAACGCACTGCCGAACGACATCGGCCAGATGTCGAGCTTAGAGGAGCTTATAATCACTAAGAACTTTCTCGAGTACTTACCGTCTTCGATCGGTTTGCTACGCAAGCTGCACTGTCTCAATGCGGACAATAACTATCTGCGCGCGTTGCCCGCTGAGATTGGCAGCTGCACGTCGTTGTCCCTGCTCTCTTTGCGATCGAACAATTTGACGCGAGTGCCGCCCGAATTGGGCCATTTGTCCTCACTACGAGTGCTCAATCTCGTCAACAATTGCATCAAGTTTCTTCCAGTCTCCATGCTGAATCTTAGTAACCTGAAAGCATTGTGGCTGAGTGACAATCAAAGCCAGCCGTTAGTGCCGTTACAACAGGAGTTTAATTGCGAGGAGGACATGATGGTGTTGAGCTGCTTTATGCTGCCACAGAAACCGCGGCAGGACTTAGAGCGTGAGTGCCTGTTATTTTCATAATTTTTTAATGTAAAGTTTTGTTTAATTTATTTATAGCTTTAGTTTCAATTAACATCTCTTTACAAATCTTGCATGTTAAAAATAATAGCTTGGAGATCTTCACTAACTTATGGAACAATATTTGCATTTCTTTCTTTAACATAGCTTTATTTATATATTCTTTAATATTTCTTTGTTTAAACTAATAAAAAAACAGCTTCTTGCTTACCTTAGTTTACACTATTGCAAAAAAAAAAACACGCTTTATCAGGCTTATGCACATCTTCAATTAACAATAAAAATGCGAAATTTATTCACGCTGCTAGTAGAAGAGGGAGAGGAAGAAGAGGAATGAAATGGTAAGATATTAAGAAAATGGAATATTGCTTTCTCGTTGAAAAACATCGTACACATTCGTCAGCATTTTACTCTAAATTTATATTTTCTTTTATATTATATATAATCATATCTTTGTGTAGTAATATTTATAATTTCAATTTTAGAAATGGCACAAACCACAGGACCGATTTCGAGTTCAATCATCGGAAACGGCAAGAGAATATGTTTCGCTGCTGAGGTAGATTCCGAAGTCCCCAGACAACTTCATCGAGCACCGACCCCTTACCCCAAGGAGCTACGCAATCTCGCTAGGCACGCTCGTAATCTGCATCATCAGTCCATTCATGATCAAAGAGTAAGTGCACTTGTTGCTCTTTTGCATGACACTTCTTTTTTTTCCAATAATACAGTTTTGCCACAAACACATTTATGTTTGTTTTTTATATAGTTCATATTTTATATAATTAATTTTATAATTAGAATATCTCAAAGTCCTTGTTTAAAGTAGGTACATGAATATGAAATAAAAATAGGAGTTTTTTTAATTTAAAAAATTTTCGGTGACTTTGACCTGACTTTAATATCTTCTTAGGTCAACGAGGACATCATCTTCTTTTCTCCTAGTACATGAGCAACTTTGTCTCATACATTTTTGTTTTGAACAAGGATTGAGAGGATTTTGAAGTATTCTAGTGAATTTTAATTAAAATGGACTTTATATATCTCCTTGAAAAATAAATATTGAAATTGTAAGCTTTAAGTTGTTATGTACATTAATTTTTTAATTTAATTAATTATGTAATATAATTAGATTTTTATTAAATTTTTTTTCATTAAAATATTAAATAATAAACTTCTAATAAATAAATAAGACGCAGTTAAAAGAATTACGCGTTTAATTTTGTCGTACCAATACATATTATTTTTGATAGAGCTCACCTTTGTCTACAACCTCTGTCGATCGTCACACGGCGAAGAACTACAGCAAGAGCAACAGACCGGCCGACCCCGGAGCGGAACACTCGGTATCTGAGGAATCATCTGACGAGGCAAATAAAACCGTGTTAGCAAAGGAGAAAAGTCCGGACATCCGCGAGGCCAAGTACATCCGTAATCCCACGTCCGATTATGTTGCGAAAGCGCCTACGGTAGCCGATTATGTCAACTCCACGTGGAAACCGGATGAGTACTCTAAGGCGAACACTGCGAAGATAGTAGAATCCGAAAAGTTTATTGAGCCCTACAGAACGACAATGTCCGTCGACGTGGCGGACGGTAAATACGAGCAGACGCGTGTAACCGTTACGCCGAAATGCGATGTACCGCCAGCTCCGCCACCGTACCACATCGCAGCAGCATTCTCCAAGAAAGCCGCTCTTTTTCAGCAGTTTAATAGTCGTACGTTATTGCTACTTATTAAAACAAATAAATGAAAAATCGTATGACACTGTAAAGTAATTTTATTGAGAAAATTGTAGATAGATAGAATTTTATAATTTTATGCAAGTCTTCTAAAAATATATAAAATAAAGATAACAAAAATAAAAAAAGATGATAAAGAACATTAAAAACATTCATGAAAACTGCAATACAATAAATAATGTGATATAAAATAAAAAAATTTAAAAGAAAAAAATATCAGTGAAACAGTAAAATAAAAAAAGCAATGTTAAGTGGATTATCTTGTATGATGAATAAGAGGTATTGGTACTTGACTTCTATAAGATTTCACGTGAATGACATTATGATAGAAACACTTTGCAGGAGTATTTCTACGCGCACGCGTGTAAATATGTCTTTTACTCACATATTTTTATCGATAAGTTGCTTGTCAACAATTGCTCTGTTATTAATCTTAAGTTTAAAGAGGAAAAATGTCAATTTAGTCTGAATCTTCATCTTTTTTTCAGCGATCGAAACGGATGCGCATCTGGTTCCATCTTCGTTACCATTTAATTCGCTCTTAAATTCGACCGGATTATTACCGGATATAAGGAAACAGAAAAACTTGGATATGAACGCGGAATCGGCGAAAGCCGAGGAATGTGCGTCCGTGTCATCGAGCGACCGGGTAAATCTCGTCAATTCGAACGATAAACCGACGGATAACGAGCAGACAAGTTCTCTTGATCAGACCAGTGTGGACCAGAATTGTACACCAATCCCTGATCCCGACACCGATTCCGAACCGAGCGATCGTGCCCTCAGGCCAAGTAAAATTCCCGTTCTGAAGACGAAACACACGGAGAATTCGAGTAATGATACAAGCTCGAGTAGGAGTGTTTCCAGAGAGGATTATGATACGAGTAGAACGTTGAACGTGTATTCTGGTATACCCACGTCGCCGATCACGGGGAAGAAGTACCGTAGCCCGTTATCGGCGCCAGTGAAGCCACATGACCGATCGAAAAAGCTGACGAACGGGAACGCTTCGAGCAACAGTTCATGCGATAATGTCCCGACTGATGCGTCAACGAACATCGATCGGATCAACGCTCCTGTTCAAACCAACAGAAACGTCGTCGACGCATCGAGCGACTCTTCTCCCGCTACTGCTGTCATTAAGAGCGAAAATAACTCGAGCCGAGACATCTCAAATCACAGTACGAACGGCAAGTCTCAAGGCGATGCGAACTTCAACATCGAGAACTTCAATGATCACACAAGTCCTGCGTCAAACGAGACGCCGAGCTCGGAGAGGAAGCCGAAGTTCAAGTGGATGTTTGGTCCTCACAAAAACGCGAATGTGGTAGGTAGTCTGGTTTGTGAGAAATACAGAAAATAGAATCCCATAAACAATATAACAATATTGCAACGTTTCTACAATGTTACTGAAATGCTTTGTGGTATATAGGATACTTATATTAAAAAATGTTGTGTAGAAAATAAAAATAGTAAGTTTAATAAATGTAAATACAAAAAAAAATTAAAGATTAATTTGGAAATTATACTTATGCGAAAAATAACGTAATTTTTATAATTTTCTATGAATTTCTCTATAGTTAAAAATAATTCACATTATTTTTAGTAGAGCGGATATTTAATGACTTTTCTAATTTTGGTACTTACATTTTCTTTCAGTTGCCTGTTCAAGTGAAGAAGAATCCAGGTCTCGGTTTTAGTATAGCTGGTGGGGTAGCGGGTGCAGAGACCGTATGTGTTACTCGTGTAATTTACACATTTAAATTTATTCACGTATAAGAGGTACGTGAGAATACATGGTCTTTCTGTTGCAGGGGATAATCGTGACGAAGGTGAATCCCGATGGACCAGCTCAGGGCACTCTTCGGCCAGGAGACAAGATCCTGGAGGTAGACGGCATCGACTTTACCAAGTCGGATCACAATAATGCTGTCGCCGTTCTGCGTGCCACCGGTGCTGTTGTATCTATGATGATAAGTCGCCATCAATGATTGTAAGTTTTGGAGGAACAAAAAGAGGGGAAGAAAACTTTTCTAATTCTTTTAGATCGCGTACGATCGCTTTACACACTTCAGACTGAATACATTTTATATATATAGCTCTATGATACACATATACATATATATTTAAATATATTCTTTAATCAAATCTGCAATTCGATATGTAAACGCGTTCGTGAGAAAACGAGAGAGACAGACAGAGCGATCTGTGCAAATGTCGCCGAGATTACTTGCGCTGTTGTGAATTGCGACGATATTTGCACGGATAAATAAACACGGGATACCCCATACACACACATGCATCTATATATTTGTGTTGAGTAAGATTGTGTGTAAACAAACTAGGATACAATTCGATTAACACGGCGCGATAAAGTGACCGATCCTCCTCCGTAAGAATAATAATAAAAATATGTTATTTTCAAACAATCTTATCTACGAGCGGATCAATCTCGCTTGCTTCTGTAGCTCCTCCACGAGTAACTACGACTAGAACAATAATGTCTTTCCTGAAAGCTCTCTAATTCTGAGACACGCACATCCGCGCGCGTGTGTGAACGATGATGTTGGTAGATTAGTTGATTTACATATATCTATATCTATATGCGTTCTCCTTGATGGGAGTGCCGACAATGTGCCAGAAAACAAAGTACTATTTATTATCCATATACATAACATATTGAGAAAAGATATATATACTATACATATATAAATATATACATATATTATATATAAACAAATTTATCTGTAGACGAGCTAGACAAGGCTCCCATGGATTCCTGGGCGATGTAAATAAGTCTTTCGATTGTTTCCGCGTGTTGAGGTATTTGTTAGATCTATTTTCATGGGCTGTTTCGACAACAAGAACTTCACCTTCGAACTCGTAGCTCAGAGTCAATTCCTTTCTTAACATGGAACGCTGAAATTTGGACACGGTTTTTTTTCATTACGAAAACAAGCTACCAATTTTGCAAAATAAATAAAAAATGTTTTATCCTCTTTTTTTTTTTTTTAATTTAAAGATCTTATTTAAAATTTTAAATTAGAAATTAAAATGTAACAGAAATTCTAGTTTTAAAATTACACAAATATTTAGAAGTATTTTTATATTTATTGAACATTGACATTCTAATTTTTAATTAATATTTTTATTTTTTTAATGCTGAAATACAGAATTATGAAATTAAGAGAGCGATCAAAGTTTTGCTAACTAAGAGAAATTGGTTCGCAAAACTTCTCGGAGAATTCGTGGATGAAGCTCTTCGAAAATGTTACACGGAATATCCTATGTGTACTCTCTCATTGTGAGATGTGAGATACATATAATATCGTTGTGCTGTACTTCGTTGTAATCAAATCATTTCTGACGTGATTCGATCGTGCATAGCGATTTTTATTAGTTGTTGACTATAGTAGTTGTTATTGCGTATGGCAAAGCTATAAATTCTATAATTCGATCGAGGAATGCTATGAAGAAGAACGAGTGTAGCACTGAATTGTTGCGAGTTTAAGTGGAACCTGGAATGTTCGATACGAACGAAATGCTCGTCGCTTTTTGGGGCGACAATTTGAATAATATCTGTTTTAAATAATTGAGTATTCAGGATATTGATAATAATTACACCTTGCTCTGTGGGATCCTTGTCACACTCTTGTCTGATGTAGGAGAGAAAAGAAAATATTCTTCTATGTGCCGTACTTATATCGATAATAATGTTTATACTCGTCAGTGTCGATGTCAGTCTTCGGACGTTCAACAATTGTGGCGTATTATCCACTACGGATCTCTCTCCCTCTCTCGCATTTTACGCCCCTTTTCAAATTTACCATGTATTGCGAGAGATTGCTGTTCGATTGTTAATTAATCCTTAAACACTGGAACGCACTTTCGTGACGTTAATGAAGTATATAATCTTTCAGTTGCCACGTCGAAAATCATAGGTTTGTATTTTATGTTAAAGAATTTTGACCAAGTGCAATAAGTTAGAGTAAAACAAACTTGTCTCATTTTAACTTATTGCATACAATTAGTGTACACAAGGTCCAAACTTGAGGAAAAAGAACAGACCTAATACAAAAGAATATCTTATTTTTTTTAACAATAATAAAAAAGGGGGGCTAATATTTGATAAATAGAATTTTGTTAATGAGTAAATTAATTGGATAATATACAGACGTTTATATATAAATTGTGAGAGTTGTGTCTTTATTAGATATGTATACGCTGGTTATTATTTTATAGGTGTATGAATACACGTTAATTTTATAAAAGTTTTACATCTTGCGTCAGTGTTCAAGGATGTAAATGGATGTGTATGTGTACCGTGTTATTCGATCTTTTATATCATTAATGTTCTTAGACTATCAAAACCACGAAACGCCTTTCGGAACCAACGCGACTAATTTTGCGTTTACTCGCGTTTCTTCCGTTGATATCCCGTTGAAGGAGCAAACCTGTACCTTTCGTAGAAACTGTCCTCCGCAATGACTATCTATTAGTCGAGCGTGATATCGCCGATTGACGGGCGAGATAAGACATTTTTCTACGTCATGTCGATAAAAGAAAAGTGATAAGAGGAAGAGTCGCGGTGGAGAGGAGTATAAGAAGAGCGTAGGACTGAAAAATGGTAGCACAAATAAAAATCGTTACTCGGTTATATATATATGTATGTTGCGTTTATATACATATTAAGCGTATTGTTATAATCTAAACCAGTTTGAATGCAAGACTATGTACGTTCTGGGCATTCCGCATCTTTCCTCTGTTAAAGATTTCTTCCACAAGTTTTTGGAATATCACTATTATTTTGAGATAAACACAATTGACTCTCTGTCAATCTCTAATTAGTGTAATTGATTTTTAATATTTTATTAACGTCAAGCCATTTAATATGGTTAAACAAAGATCAGGATGAGGATGTCTATTTTTATCGCGAATCTAAAAAGTCCTGTCGATCGAGAACGTCAGATTAAAATGTTAGACGACAGAGGAAAGATATCGTGGGTCTCTGGGACTGAGTGTTAGGTAATTAATTGTTGTTACTAAGTTAGTGTCTGTCTATTTGTATCTTTATTCATCGGTGTTATGTATTATAAGGTTTTACGGTAAGTTCACGTAAGCCGATCAAAGAAGCCGTTTCGTATTTCGATTTCTGTGTCGGGAGTTAGTAGGATTATTCGTACCTAGTCAAACCCGATAGCAAACGTTAGTGTTCTTCGCCGACTCATATCGACAGTTTCATTTTTTGCGTCTTACGTCTGTCACTATCGTTAACGACAGCCTGAACTTTCAATCAATCTGATTATATCGAAAGCTCTTTGCGAATCTCTTTTTTTCTTCTTGCTAATAGATACTCGCGCGATTAGTCTCCACACAACGTTAGCTCGTTGCTCTTCTCATTCTGTTACTGCATTTAATTCCGTAGAAATATGAAGGAATATACTTGGGTTGATCAAAAAATTTGCCCGTCTCCTCGATTAATTCCTATTCTGAAAAGAGACATGGAAGAGCGCTTTTTTGATTAACCATAAAAATTACATTAGAATGTTTCGGAGGGACGGGATAAGGTACGTGTTGGCTGACGGAGAAGTTTCCACTTTCATGGACCACGAACACACATATGTACTCTTTTCTACTACTCTAAACTAAACAGACTGATTACCTTTTGGATACCTGTTACATGTTTAACGGCGTTTCCGATCGGGACGTGTTTTTAATAATTGCCTCCGCGAGCGATTAGTAGAGACAGGTTTCATAAAAATTGATTGAAACAACGTTTGCGAATTCGACTCCTGATGAGAAAATTTTCCGAAGCTTTATACGCAATTATACACCGAAGGAGCACGGATCCCGTACGGAAATGCCATAAGCGACGCTCGCTATCGTTATTGATCGGAGTGAATTGCGAATCTAAGATGAACGCGTGACTGAAGCTCCGAGTTGTACCCATGAGTGTATATACAATAAGCGACTAATTGTATGCGTATGTAAGCAAACGTTGAGAAAGCAATCAAGTGGTCGTACCATTTTATTGGCGATACATTTTGTGTTTTTAATTCTTTATTTATTTTTATCGTGTCGAACTTCTGAGCGAACGATACTCGGTTTTTTGTGCTAGAGTATTTTTTTTTCGATGATTCAATAATCAATGCGTCAGATATTACGTTTCGCAACGTCCGCGTTTATCCGAAGAACGATTTGTCTCTGTGAACGGTACAACCACTTCGTTAGCATACGTTAATTATGGTTGTCATATGATAATTTATAGTTTGTAACGGTGATCGATGTACAAACAGATACTCACGTTCTACTGCGCGGACGTCTTCTGATATACAATTACTATTGCATTTTGAATATGTTAGTGGAAGATGTCTGACCTTTAACGAAAAGTCCTAGTTGGTTGTGCAGCAATAAATAAATTAATATTTACGTATAAAGTGTGTCAACAATCTATAACGTTTTACGTATCTCTCCACTAATTATGTATTAAGAAATGATGCGGATATTTCGTTTCATAAAAACATACATGAAAACAAGTAATGTATAACATCATTAGATATAATAGTAATCTAATTGAAAATAATTTTGCTAATTCATGATAGTGACATTAATAGTATTTTATTAAATAGTTTGTCGCGTTGTTTCATAAAAACTGTTATCAAATTACAATACTTTTTTCAATTAGACTGTTGTTTAAATATTATATTGTCTTTCTTTCTATTTCTTTTTATTGAATTGTTTGCATATATTACGTTTTGAAACGCTCTTTCAAGAGCTAGTAACTTTATTCTATCCAACAAAATTAGTCTAGATAGATAAGTATATAATATAAAGACAGATATACGTATTACATACGAAAGGTAAGACAAGATTGATGTTATGATACTTACTAAAAAATATATTCAAAACGTAAAACAGAGTACAAGCAAAACGTTATGATCATAAAATATAAAATAGAGATATAGTACAAAATATAAAACATATTAATCGTAAATAAACATAATTCTCTTTCAAAGATAGTTTTAGTAAGATAATGATTTTTAGTATGTTAGTTTCGCGCGTAGAAACATAACAATTTCGAAAACTTATGGAACTTAAAGTTACATAATTTTAAAGTTGGATGTGTTATAATTTGCGATACAAATTTTAAACCTCTATATAGGATCTAAGTATTGAGCGTTTTGTTTTACATAAAAAATTTACATAAAAAACTGGGTCTCAGCGTACAATATTTATGTACGAAGTTGACAATACATATTTTTCTTGTTACATTTAACCATGATCATCTTTTGAATTCTCCCACGTATATCAAAACGAGATTATGAAGATTATGGCGACAGTGTTAATAACGCTATTGATTTTTGTCTCAGTTATACAAGTAACTAAAATAAAAATCAACTGTGTGCATTATTAATACCTTCAATGTATCAAAACTAGGAGATAACGCATAACTTTCTTGAAGAAAATATACGTTAAAAGTCTCAAAAGTCTTCCAACGAGTTATCCATCAAAAAGCAACTTTATCTTTACCATGAATTTCTCGCAGAGTATACCGTACTTCGTCTACAGTGATGAATGCAACGTGGATCAAGTGATGTACTGCCGAAACGACATGAAAGATTCCTTGATGGAACGGGGCATCTCCCTGACTTTCATGCCGTTCTTGATAAAAACAGCTTCGCGAGCATTGGAACAGTATTCGCAATTAAATGCTTGGGTCGACGAGAAGATCCAACAGCTGCAGTTCTTGGACAATCATAATGTCGACATTGCCATCGACACTTCGAACGGTTTAGTAGTGCCGAACATCGAGAATGTACAAAACCTCAGCATTTTCGCAATCGCGCAAGAGCTGAATAGACTTCAGCAGTGCGGTAGTAAAGCATCCATATCGTATCCCGATGTGAGCTACACGACATTTACATTGTCCAATATAGACGTGGTAAGTGCGGACATATGGAAAAACAAATTATGATCAATGTAAATTATGAATTAGCATAAACTATTTTTACGTCGGTTAATTTACGCTAAACGGAGTCTTTAACTATGCTAAATTTTGTATCATTTCTGTATTCAAATTTATATATGTCTCAAGAAAGATGTCGACGATTATAAATCACTGATTCTGAAATCGAATACTCAATTTTGTATAAATATTCTGATTTATTTTAGATTAGGGTCACAAATAAATATTACTTATAACTAGGCGAGTTTTCTTGTGGAACTTATGAACCACTAGACATCCAAAAAGAGCCGATTAATTTAGCCATGTTAATATTTTATGGGACATTTAAAATATACAGTATTTCTCGTCTTGTATCGAAGCTTGATAAAAAAAACCGACTCTGACACCAAATAGCTTATTATTTTATATTTTTACGTGTTTTGTTTTGATTATATAAGTAATTAATATAAAAATCACAGTATTTATATTAATACTTTTTGCTATAATCTTCATAATCTTTTGTTTCGATAATACGTAATTCGTTTAATGTAAGGACTGAATCCTTAGTGTACACAAAAATGTTTATAGACAGCTTCAAGGGCAGATCAGCAGATGCATTGGATTCTCCACATAGTACTTCCACAAATTGGAGAATTTGGCCACCGTTACGCCGTCAATGACACGATGATCCGCGGACCAGCTGACCGGCATTATGTAAACTGGAATTACATTCTCCTCATCGTCGAATCGCGGCAACTTCCGCGCCTTGCCAAATGCACCTATTATCACCTGCGGTAATACGATCACCGGCTTCATATTCGTTCCACCAACCTAGAAGTCGACATAAAAAACGGTATTTCAATGGTAATAAAAATTTAGAAGGAGAAAAAGATAAAATAGCAAGGAACCAAAGAAGAATGTCAAGATTGAGCGGATATTCGAAAAGTAAATATATATATGTAATACATAAAAGTAAAATTTATATAAAATTTATAATTCACTGATCATAATTCATGTTTTGAGGTGTCCACTTACCACGCCTATGTTGCTCAATGTAAATGTCGTGTTGCTCACATCGGAATACGATATGGATGCTTTACTGCCGCACTGCTGAAGTCTATTCAGCTCTTGCGCGATTGCGTAAATACTGAGGTTTTGTACATTCTTGATGTTTGGCACTACTAAGCCGTCCGGAGTGTCCATAGCAATACCGATATTATGATTGTCGAAAAGCTGTAACTGTTGGGCTTCTTCGTCGACCCAAGCGTTTAATTGAGGGTACTGCTCCAACGCTCGCGAAGCTGCTTTTATCAAGAACGGCATGAGAGTCAGGGAGATGCCCTGTTCCATCAAGGAATCTTTCACGTCGTTTCGGCAGCGCATCACTTGATCCACGTTGCATTCATCGCTAAAGACGAATTGTGGTATTGTCTGCAATTTCAAAATTGTCAAGATAAAGTTGTTTTCTGATGGATAACTTTTGTTGGGGGAATTTTGAGGCTTCTATGGATATTTTCTTCAAGAAAGTTATACGGTTTATGGGTTATTTCCGTTTTTTAATACGTTACTAAATTTCAACATCAAGAATTTACTTCATCAGATTGAGAAGCAATCTGATGCTGACAAGGAAAGAATACAGTGGATTCGTTATGGATTTAATCTCTTTCACGCGGAATATTTTATACATTAAACCTATTATTTAAGGCTTATTCAACAAAATACTCTAATACAGCACAACTTATTTTCTATATAGAATTCACCGATTCAGAAGTAAAAAATCGCAACAGGTTTTCTATGTTTTTTATTATTATTCGTTCTTCTTCTAAGTTCTCCAGCGGATATGTCTTCTTTTTGTGAGCCATTTCTATGTGTTTACTCTTCTCTGGTGAATTCTCTTTATATGTTGTTCCGATATGTGAGAGAGAAAGAGAAATAGGGGGGAGGGGGGACAAAGGAAGAAAGAAGGGATCGCTGAGACTGTGGTGTGTAGACAATTACTGCCGTTCAATCAATTTTTAAAATCCAGGGAAAGATGTTTTTCATATCACTTATATTATAGCTATTGTCTCTGTTTAGATTATCGAGATGTTTCTGTATTTCTCTGTATTTTCTTGGAAAATATGAAGTGATGATAGCTATTGTGATTGTTTAATCAAGCAGTATGTCCTGTCTTAATATTATGTTAGAATAATGCTGACTATCTGGTACGATTTAATCGGACATTACATTAATTCCTATTTAGTTGTATTCTCACATGTACTGTTCTATAAAATTTAATTATTGCATTAATATTCTTTCATCCGTAGATTTTTTTCTTCTTTCCCAATAATATACTCTTTTTCGCAAACGTAAGAAATTTTATATATTCCTGTCAAGCTAAGTAGAAATCTTTGGTCTTTACAGTTTCTCAAAATTTATCCTGTCTTGTTTACATATTTGAAGAGTATTCGAATGTTGCGCTTATTTAAGATTCTGCCGATACAATTCCTTTTACAAGTGAGAAAATAGAGCAAGTTCTCTTGTCTACTTTATCATGTGATAGCTGCACGTCGGAATTTGTTGTTTTACTTATAATTGTTATTTTATATTTTTTTTAACTCTCAATTATATTTTTTGTCGTGTCCGTTTTGTTGTTTCAAATGATTGAATTTTGTTTATGTATTGTTTGTCTTATACAATGCTCTATTATATATATAGTTGATTATTGACTATTTTTATGGTGGGTACTAGGTAGTGTATATGTAGTGCGACTCAACATATATATATGTAGATGATAATTTTATTTATATCCTTTTGTCATGTCTGTTTTATTGTTAGGTTTGTTTCAAACGGTTGAGTTTTGTTTGTATGTTTTTCATCTAATATGCTCTATATAATACAAGTTGATTGCCGACTGTCTTTGTGCTGGGTGGTGATGTGACTCAATCTATAAATGTTTACCACAATAGCCGCCACAAACGACCATCTCATTTTCCAAGGAAAAGACAGAGAAATTCTAGGGAAATAGAAACATCCCGATAATATAAACAGAAACAAAAGCTGTAAATGAAAGGCTATTCTTCGGTTTTTAGAAATTGATCGATCGAAAGTAATCGCCTTCATCATAGCCTCAGTGACTTTCCTTTTTCCTACCCCTCCATCCTTCTTATATTTCAACAACGTATAAAAAAGAGTCTAGAGAAGTGGCTCATCAGTATCAAGTTGCTTCTCCTCCTGATGAAGTGAATTGTAATTCATAGAATGTTGACACTTACCGATCAAGACACGAAAAACTCATAAACGACGTAACTCGTTATTGTAATAAAAATACAAAAAGTGCATTAAAAGATATGAGTAGGTATAATAAATTTTTTTTGTAATTGTGAAGATTGTACATTAGAAAACTAAATTTGAAAGATTGAAAACGAGCGAAAGAAAATTGAAGCAAAATATTATAACTAGAATTTAGTGTTCTCAAAAAAATTATTCTAATATTATTATACTTAGAACTTCGCGAAAAAGATTACTCTAAAATCATGAAAAAATCTTCCAGATAAAGTAATGTAATTATAAAAAATATTTAATATTGATGCTTTTCCACTAACGCAGAATATTAATGACAATCTTTATAAAGTTCAAACAGTATTATAAAACAAATATCGAATATTAATATAGAACTAATAAAATTGATACTGAAAATAATAAATACTGAAATAAATAGAATACAAGATATAATGATTAAAATCAAATGTAATAAGAAGCTCGTGTATAACACTAGGAAAAAATTATGTTTACTAATTGAACTGTATTTTAAGATTGCAGCTTATTCTTCACCTTCTCAAAGACTCACCAGAGATTTCGTCATAGTTTTCCACATGTGTTTCGTGTATCCTTTAAGTCCGACCGTTCTTCCCGTCATGCTCGATGGAATATCCACTTTAATTCCCGGACCCGCGGAAATTGTCTGCAGGTGTGCCAGTATGTCTTCCTTGAGCACTCTTCCATCCTTACCAGTCGCTTTTACATCCGTCAGCTTTATGTTATTTTCTTTGGCTATCCTTCTCACCGCTGGGGTTGCCAATGCCTTCCCTTCTTTCAAGGTGATGTCCTTCGATTCCACCTTATCTGTTTTTCTCTCGCTTTTTTCTAAATTGTCAATCGTTTGATCTTCCGCACTCTTTGCAGTTTCACCTGCATCGTCCCTCACGACGTCTGTTGAGTCGTCTTCTATCTCAAAATCCAATAGCGCCGATCCAACCAATGCGACATCGTCAATCTTGTAGTGCAGAGTCTTGATAAGGCCATCGTAGCGACTCGTGATTGTCACCGAGGCTTTATCGCTCTGCACCTCACAGATGTCATCGAACTGCTTCACCTGGTCTCCTGGTTTCACAAACCTGAGAAGTTTCGCTAAATTTAGTGTGGAGACGGAAATATTTTAAACAGTTATTAAAAAATGTCAATTAATTACTGAGTTGTTAAAAAAGTTTTGAATCCCTCTTTAAAAACCAATTATTATAGTCAACACAAATTGAAAGTATGAGTTGTGTTGTTTTTAATTAATTGTGTCGACTGCGTAATAATTGTTTTTAAAGGGTGATTTAAAACCTGAAATTTAAATTCAAGGATTTTACGCATTTAAAGCCGGATAATCGTTCAATCTTTTGAAAGAGAAATATTTTGCCGCAAGTTATACCAAACTCTTCACGTACCATTCTTTTACTGTGACATCTCGAATTCCCTCGCCAATGTCTGATAATTTGAAGGGTACTACTTTTTTGCTAGAGAGAAACGAGCTGACAGACAAAAGTCGTCGTACTGGGTCGCGCGATCGTTCGACCTACACAAACAAAAGTTTCGTCGACGGTAAAAGTTCCATCACAATAAAAGCAATAAAAACAATCACGTCGTTGGCTATAGAGGGATAATAGTGAGATACATACGGTATTTAATAAATACAAAAATATATTAGATTAATTTAAAAAGATTTTGACGAAATTATTGGCTCATTGCCCTTATCTCTTTATATTAGTTGTTAATAAATACATACAATATCTGACAAAAAGTAAATTAAATTAAACTGAAGAAAAATACAAGGTTAAGAAAATAATACGACAAAATAATAATAAAGCTCTAACTGATTAGAATGGGATAAACAGTGCTCCCGTTTTGATAGTTTGAAAGTTGGCTGCTGTATTTACAGTAATGTATTTTCTGTCCTCTCTGTTGATTTATTGCTTTACTCGTTCGTACAAGCTGTTCCTTTGTTACATTATTTCTTTCTTCAGCCTAGGAATAATCACCTAAGATTTTTATATTCCAGCAGCGAGAGAATGAAGCTTATCAATAGTTTTTTTTTTAGTAATTGAAAATCAGTATTTATTTTCTTATTTTTCTTTACTTTTTTAATAAATAAGTAAATCTACATATATATATATATATGTTTATGCATATATATAATACCTTAAATACTAATAATTTGAACAATCAACAATATGCAATTGTAGTCAATAATAGTGACTTTTAATTGGGATGTAAAAAATATTTCAGCGATTATTTACGCAAAAAACTGGGTCACTATTCCCGGGTTAACAATTCCCGATTTTTTCCTCAATTAAGAAAAAATATACTATCTAATTTTCTCCATGTAGAAAAAATTCGTCGATACAGCAAACACTTAAATGTTTATATAAATTAAATATGTAGCAAATTTCTCATCAACAATTTTAATTATTATATACATGACAAAAAATATTTGTTGAGAAAACTCATTTTATTTGCTGAAACAAGCTTCGTTAGAGCTGTAAATTATTCTTTTACAATATATAACAAAATCTTCTATTTCTTCTATTTTGCAATCTCCAATATTGTTTATTTTTATACCAACGTTTCATCAGCGATGCGATTTTATTGTAACGGCAAAATGCATTTGCTACGGATATGCTGTTTGCTTTAATAAATAAACAAGCTGCATGTTTGCTTTAACAAGTCAATGTGTTTCTGTGAACAAATTTATTCTGCAAAATTTTTCTATTTTTTTAGAGGAGAACGAATTTCACTGTAACATCAAACAATTCATTATCGTAGCGTTCCAAATTCAATAAAAATTTATTACACATAAATTCATTTCGTCTTTGTGAATTACATAATTAATGTTTCGAACCATTATTTTTGCTCATGATTTCATAGCAGCACGAGCTAACTAATAATCTAATAATTGCAATTAATAAATTATTATGGTCGTAATTTCCCACTCAACAATACATATAAATTTAATGCAACACTTGTTCTACATAATACAATAATTATTTAATATAGTTAGTGTACTTAGTACTTATTAATACTCAATCCGATAAACATATCTAATATATTTGAATAAATAAATGAATAATAGGTATGAATAATACAAATATTGTTACACTTTTTTTTATATTCAACGAGAAACGAATAAATACTTTTTATTCGATTTGAATGAATATTTTTGTGAATATGACTACAAATATTTTTGATTTTGCATTCATTCGTATTCTGCATTATCTGCTTTTAGCTTGCCAGCGTAGAGTAACTGAAATTTATAAAGCAATAAAACCAGCAGAGGAATAATATTCAGACTTTAAACTTTACGAGTTCTTTTTTTAAATTACATGAAATTATTCATGTGTTTCTGTTGGATCCAATTTCTCAATTAACATTATGCTCGAGAAAATCACATTCGTGTAGGAATAAAAAGAATAATACACGCGCAACAGAATAATTATTATTATAATTGTATTTCCTTTTCAAATCCAACTAAAGAGCACAAATTTTTTAAAGAGAAAATTTAATAATATGTTATCTAATCGTTTAGAATTATTAAAAACGATTGCTTATTAATACTTTCTTTTTTAAGTTACATTTTGTTTGAATACTTTAAATTTGAAATTAATATGAATATTCGTAAAATAATTATTGTATTTTCGTAAATAAATATTTTCAAACAGTTTTGAAAGAACATACAAATATATACTTTTTTCACGTGAAAAATTTGAATAAATATAAATTTTATAGCTCAATTACAAATTCTTGTACTTATCAGGTATAGTAATTATATAATAATTACTGTTACATTTGTATACTGAGTGGGAAATTATGACGTAATGTTACTGTTAGTTTTGTTTAGCGAGGAGATTTTTATTCTTTACTCTCACACATGACATACAAACATTGCTTTTATGACTATTTGCAACGTCAGTGTCAAAGTTCAACCCGGCGTGCGGCCTGTTGATAGCGCAGCGGTCGGCACGTGCTGCGTTCTAATATAATGGAGCGACATTCCAAGAAAAACATAGAAATCAATAATATCAATAAAAAAATAACTCTATTTTTATTCTTATTGTCCATAAACCGTCAAAAAATCGCCATTTTGACCTTCAAGACATCAAAATAAAGTCATTTTGACTTTATTTCGAGAGACTGAAAATCAACTGTATATTTAATAGATACAGAAGCAATCTCTATTAAAGTTTAGAAGAAGAATTGTATCACGTCCAGTAACCGTCGCTTGCACTTCTGTAATAATTTTATAATATTTTTATAATACCTACCAATCGCGTGGCTGTCAACAATCGCCAGGAAAGAGAAAAAGCCATCAGCTGATCCGTTCGAGAAGGAATATAAAGCAATAATGAAAATGTAGAGAACTCCGAAAGCAACTCAGATCGTGCAAGTTCGGAAATACTCGTATTACCGAATGACAGGCAGTCGTTATCATGGCCACGTCACGATACGAGTGAGGTCGAAGGAGCGTGTTTGTTCATATTTATGAGTGAAGCGAAACGCGTTACACAAGTTGTTACGAGTTGACAAAATGAAATGTACGATCGGTACATTTCATTTGTCAACTGTACGATCAAAGAGTTTACATATGCGATCAACGTTTGTCGTAAAGGATCGATCGCTATAGTGTTAGAAAAGTGCTGCAAGGTATATAATTAAAAATATTAATATACAGTTCAGAAATTAATATATATTATAAAATTAAAATATTAATATATTATATAATATTAAATTTACAATTTAACAGGGATGGGAAGTAATACCGTTACTTTTATTGTTACTTCCTATAATGATGATTTGAGTACATTATTTATGATGGTAACGATAACTAAAAGTTAAGGTTGTGAAAAAATAATTTTTAAAAAGTAATCTGTTACTATAATTACACATTGTTTATTGAAAAAACGAACTCAGTCACCCAAAAATACAATATTAAGCCTTAGTCTTGAGAAATTGACCAATCACAGACGAGTATATTCTTCTCACGTTCGACTGCAATTGATCAGTTTCTTTTAAAATTCAATAGCTTACTACATTTATTGTATTTCGAACTAAAAAAAATTTAAATTTATAACACAATTAGCCGTTTTGGATTTTCAGAAAATTGTTCTATAACTTTTACTTTCAATTCTTTCCTTTTCTTCAAAATTATGTAATTTCTTATGAATACTAATGTGTAATATTTTGTTGTTTAAGATTTAAAGAGGGTCCCTCACGACCGCCTCTCTTTTAGCTGTGTCTATGAATAATAATAAATTAATTTAATAATTAATTTAATAATAAGATAGATTTGAAAGGCTGTAAAAATCACAGAAATTGTCGAGTTTCGCGCTTATGTCTGCCGCCAATCACCGATCGTTACACCTAATTTTTTAGGAAAGACAATGTAGAGCAACGGTGAACGTTTATTTTTCTTCTAAGAGCCCGGAGGAAATTGAAGTCGCCGAATTTATATCGGTTTTCAGGGAAGATGGATAACGGGTGAAAATGAATCGCATACTCTCCGACACGCCATTCAATAATGTTTTATTCCAGATCCGATCTCTCTCTCCTCTCTCGCTGCGCTCGTTACAATAGAAAAGATATTAGTATTTCTTCCTCTCTCTCTTTTTTTTAAATATCGCTTTGACTTCGACGATCGCGAAAATCGAGTGATTTAATCGCTGATACAATAATAACACTCTTCTTCGATTATTCACAAAATTGATCAAACGTTTTAAAAATTCTATGAAATATGAAATCCGACGTAATAGGGAAAAGGGAGAAAAAAGAATGATTACATGTATATATAAAAAGAATCTTTCTTTAATTAGTATCGCGGAAAGATACAAGTAGTGTATTTCCAAAACGAGATGAACATTCGAAGTAATCTTCATGCGATTTCCGAAACACTCGATCAGTTTTCGTGAGTCGAATCGCTTTAAAATGTGTAAGAAAAGGGGATAGAAGGGGAAGAGGGGGTTGAGAAACAGTCGTGTCGAAAACAATGTATTCCTGATTAATATTCTCGATATTTCGGAGTAATAAGTTAATTGTGCTCGCTTTAAGTACATTTATTTATTGTCCATTGCGTACGATTACCTCGTTGGAAGGCGCTCTCAGAGGGATTGAAGGAAAAAGGACGTGTTAAATGCCCGATAATAAATGGAGTTGGGAGTTAAACGAGCAGGTGGAGTTGACGCAAGATCAACATTTACGCTCTTAATCGAAATCATACACAAGTCACGAGGTGCTCGACTAGAATTGGTGGGTCACACGGTATACACTTGCTCGATAAATGCACGTACACGTAAGTATGTCTTTTTTATGCGTATGTGTGTGTGTGTGTGTGTGTGTGTGTGTGTGTGTGTGTGTGTGTGTTTTTATATGTATTTATAATTTATATGCACAAGGGACAACAGTAACAATAACGACAACAGCGAACATGATAACGACCGATGATTTCCGCATCTCTGTCTTCTTTTTATTGATGATAGAGATACTGCAAATAATAACCACGTTACGAGACGCTCAACGTTCTCGCAGATATAGATCCTCGAATTTCAGTTCGATTATCAATAACAGATTAATTAGAGTTAAATTGAGAAATGTCCACAGACTTCTGTATATTATACTTGACTCATAACAGCAGTCTTTATAATGAAGCCATGCCGTCATATTTAGTATAGGATAAAAATTATACATGTACTGATTATGGAGAGAAAAGTTTTTGTGATCGTTACTACATGTTATCATAATTATGGTTATTACTGTTAGAATGTTAGAAGTAATAACGCTGAGAAAAATGTTTTGGTTAATGTAATTGAATTGTTTATTATCTCGATTAGAATGTTTAATAAATTTAATTATTAAGTGTCTGATTTATTCTTTCTGCTTGAATTTATCTAAATTGTAATTAACGCAAGACTTTTTTTCTAACGTATAGATTTAATTTAAATAAGTGTATAATAACTATTATGTTAGTAATAATTTTGGTGGAGTGTAATTATAGTGACAAATACATACAAAAAATTGTTTTCTCAGTGCAAGAAGTAAAATTTCAACGTATTACCAAGTATGCAGCATTCAAGGCATTGTTTTCAATAGTTTTGTATAAAATCAACATTTTCTTTTGTTTATTCATTTAAATTAAACTGCACAAATTCTTACTGCGTACTGTACATATTGTATCCCACGTAAATACAGCTGCCGCAGCTTCATATTTTACCATGAATTCATTGGCGGTGTAATATATAGAAGTCTGTGAGAATATCATTGTTAGCAATTTGCTAATTTCAATCTCCAGACGCGCACATCCAACGGTGCCACTGTGTGCGTCTCTCATAGTGTTTCACATAGTCACGATAAAGTAGTCTATAATTGCGCCACTTGCTCGTTATTGGTCTTGCTGGTGATGCTGGACGTTAGCGAGATCTCGGTGACCCCCACGGACGTCCGCACCGCCGAGGTCAGAGCGCCCTGCAAGGGCACATTCTCACTCGCCGACTCACAGCCTGTATCTGCAAAATCAGAAGTTCCGCATCAGTCATCTGTTCGAGAGGAAGGGTAGAAAAACAGGAAGCGAACATCTGACTGAGAATGCCCGGAATGCATTGTCGCGCGCGCTCAGACTCGCCCTTCAGAGGGCGAAGGGATTCTTCCACCTCCTCTTCGAGTGTCAACACGTGCCGTCACGATAAGATAATTGGATTTCTTCATCGCGTTGGCGTATCGACGTTCTGCTGCTGGCGACAAAAATTTTATTACGAATAAAATGATTTTCAGTAATAGACCGATCTTTTCCCGCTCGAAGGAAAGAGGCCTTGGGGGGGGTGCCTGTTACCACGCCACAGCCGTATCGAATTATGACGTCAGAAACGACAAGTTACGTGAATCTTGCAGTCAGTCATCGAGATGAGACTTCTCCCCAATAAGAAACACATAAAAGTAAAAAAAAAAAGATTAAAATGACTTCATCTTGTCACAGTTCAATTTTGTAATCAAGAAATCATCATTTTGACATTCTCTTGAATTGGTGCGTTCCTTGGGTTTTTTCTCGCATGCTGTTGCCGAGAAAACTCAAAGCTTTTCCGTCCACGATAAGTGAATTCTGATCGTCAAATCGATCAAATGAAAATTCCGCTTTTACGACTTTACTTCTAACGACGAAGTCGTTAATTTTTTAACGAAAGTGTCGAAATATAAAAAAATTTACGAAAAAACACAATTTTGTTAAAGCATCTAAAAGTTCAGTTTAACACAGATTTGAAAATAATTTTGTTGGATTATAAAATGATTATATGCACGATGTTCAAACTGGTTGCTAGAAATCAAGACTTCTTGCAGCATTGATTATTACGTTCTGTATAATTATTTTGATATAAATAATTTTTGTACCGACCGTAAATTGTCTACAAACAAGGAAGGAATTAAACGCCTATAACGATCAAAGCTGGATCAAAGTTCTAATAATAAGTATGTGTGAATTTTTATATACCACATATGTAGCCCCCCCATAATTGCGGTATATAAAAATTCACACATACTTATTATTAGCACTTTGATCCAGCTTTGACCGTTATAGGAGTTTAATTCCTTCATTATTTTGATAGTCAACAAAATTATTTTCAAATCTCTGTAACTAATACATCAGCAAAATTTTTTTTTCGTATTGGATTATTAACTCTGTTATATTTGGTCAGTAGTTCTGGCAAAAGTTCTGGCCCGATTTGTTATTCAAAATTCGAGCAACTGCAACTTCGTTAAAAATGAACAAAATTTAAATTTAAAAAAGTTCCGATGCTTCAAATCTCTACTTTCGAAAGGTCACTATGTTTTTTGGTAATTTTTACATACAGAAAATTGCGAGCTAGACAAAATGGTAAATTTCTTTCTCATTCTATGAGCCTGTCACATACCTAAAAAGAACTTGCTAAAACTTTGACCTGTTTAAAAAAAAGTTGAAGCTTATAAAGTTTTCCCTTCAAATCGTTTTTTAAAAGTATTCCTAAATTTTTTTGTTACGAAGTTATCACGGATTAAGTAAAAAGAACATTTTGACTTTAATTGCTCATAATTTTATTAAAAATAATCGTGTCGCAATTATAAAAGAACAAATTCTTAAAGTTGAAGTTTCGCTCTATCGAATAGTACAACTATCTATTTGAGTGAGATATTGCGTTTTGAATTTACATAAAAACTTTTTTGGAATCGGGCCAGAACTTTTGCATTCAGCCAATAAATTCCAATAAATTCAAGGTATTTCTGCTGAAAATATACATTGAGAGAAAAAAATGCAATTAATTACCATAATTTAATTTAACTATAATTTATAATCATATCTACAACATATT